GTTGTGTTCCATAACTTTTAAAGGTAGTCCAACACCTATGCTTATTTGGACTCCTTAATTAATCCAAGACATTTACTTAGTATAGTCCATAAGGGTATTTTGGTCATTTTGGTGTTCAGTTTTATAACATTCATTACAGAGCTCGAGGATATCTATTTATTCATGAGCTTGGTGATATTCTTTGGTCATTTCCATTACAGGGGTATTTTGGTCATTCTACAGATCTGGTGTATTACAATCATTTCCTTCCATATGATCTTATTATTTAATTCAAACGTATCATATTTTCCAGACCTTTCGAACAATTCTGAAAAAAGAGCACCCTCATTAATTTATTCTTAACTCGGAGATTTTCAGGTCAATTGTCTTCTCAGAAGTTACCAACAGATTATCAGGAATTTTCTGTACAAAAGACATGATCTTAACATTTAAATCCGTAATTTATCGAGTTAAGTATGAATCCTCAAAGTATTTTCTCATTCAGGGTCAACTCAGACTATTTTTATCTCTCAAGGGCATTTTCGTAATTTCTTAACCAAATAACTTCGATATTACTCTTAACGAGAATAATATAATTTAGAGATCCTATGGTTAATTGCTTTCCTGAACATTCTTTGATCTTGAAATGATTTCCTTAACAGACTTCTAGCATAATGCACAAACCCTCTTGGGGTTAAAAACCAGTTATCCAAAATTTCTAAGCAAAACTAGCATTTCTTATGCACATCTGAAATTTTATCGGATCAATATGTCTTTTCAGAGTTATTAACTAACTTCCAGGGACAATTCTTGTCATCATACAACATAATAGTATTTTCGTAATTTTACCCTACCAGAGTATTCTCATAATTTTTCATCCAAGTACCTTTAACATTTAACCTTTGATGACATAAATTATATGTTACAAATTCATGCTAATTCCTTTATCACTAATCACAAAACTCATAATTTAATTCTAACAATCCATCAATTTCTTATATTAATTATCCGAACCATATTCAGTTACTGAATTTTTACCGCATTCATATCGAGTGTATGAATTAATTAAAAACCCAAATGAGACCAAACATGTTTATTAATGCATTTACCAATATCAATATGTTCCATAAAGCATGAAAATGTAGTAACATATTACCTCGATTTTCGTACAATACTGATCGACCATTAAATTCCATTCGAACACCCTCGATCCTTAATTCAACTTCCAATAATTTCTCAAATACATAACAATATAAATTTCATAAAAACCGGGGCTTAATTCCGAGAAACGGATCGAATCGGATGATAAATCAGTGAAAACAGCTTATCGGGTTCGAATTTGGCGAAATGGACTCCAAAAACGGATTCAGAACGTCAAAAAACATCAGAATAGGTATACTCGAAAAAAGTCAACGGCCGATCAACGCCGGTCAAAGTTATGGTCAAAGGTGGTCAACACCGGTCAACGGTCAACGGTGGTCAGTCGGGTCGGGTTGGGTCTGGTCAGACCGATCAAACCGATTTATTTATTTTTTTTCTGTCCACACGCGCACCCAACCTTCCCCACGCGCCCCTGCGCGTGGGGTGTCAAAAAATTCCTGGAAAAATTTCTAAAAATTATTTTAAGGCATTTTGAGACACTTACCAAGCTCGCTTCATAATTTTGAATGGTGGAGAGTTCGATTCCGAAACATAAAAAACTTTGACTTCCTCACCTCTCCACGCGTCGGCGACGATGGAGACATGGAGGACACCAGTGGACTCAGAATGATGCAAGAAACACGATGGCGTAAGAGGTGTCGAAAACGGGTGGCTGAATCAACGTTAATCGACGAAAAAACAACTAAAATAGAGTTAAAACCGACGATACTTCCGACTGAAATTAACGACGAATGATGACGGTTTACGATGAAAGATTTGAGGGGTTTTGTTCATCGGTCGACAACGAACACGATGATGGTTTCGATTCATCGAACGGAGGCCAGACGGTGAGTAGATAGGAGCTCAAAGGAGGGTCAAAAGGAGAGGAAAACTGGGAAAATTCTATGCAAAAACATGGGAAATGAGTTTATATTTTCAACATACAAAAAAAATGGTTAAATTATGAGTTTAGCCATTGAATTTATTATACTTCTTAAAATAGTCTGTCAACTTTGAAAATTTACAATTTAATCCTCAATTTCTTCCAAAATACCAATTAAATTCAATCCTTTAAAATTACTAAAATTTAGCCCCTAAATTAAAGTGTTACAAATAATGTGATAAGAATTTTGTTCAGAGCTTTAGTTCATTACTGGGCATAATAGCTCGTTATTTTTATTTTAATGATTTTCTTCTCAGCATCTCAGTTGTAGATATTAACCTAAGAATGTCATCGCAGTGGAACCCTGACGCTTGTTGTCATAGTACATTTCTAGATTCTTTTATTGGACTCGAAGTATCCATGTATGTGGTATGTACGTGTCTAAGTTTATCTTTTGAATTGTATATGGGGTTTGGAATTTGGGATTTACTCTATTGCTTTTGTATAACATTTAATATATGGAGTGTCTAAGTAATTATGTTTTTGTGGTTAGTCGAGTCTAGACCATGCGAAAGTCTGTACTAAATACCGTATAGTGACACTTTGACTCGTAGTGGGTCGTGTGTTACATCCTCGACTAATAATATGTTTCAAACTCGTTCACGTTAAAAAATGACGTAAATCTGAGTTATATGTTAATATGCCGACTGAAATATGACAAAAATATAATTATATAATCTCAAATGACTATCATATCACAGTCAACATGTTAATGTTAAACTCAGATAACCGTCGATTTTTTAATGAAAATGGACAAGTTTGGAACATATAAATAATCGGCCCCCTATTTTGTGACTTTTAATGGTAGAGGGATTCAACAAAACAACACCTAATAATTGAAAGATTATATTGTAATTTTTAATAATTTGAGGTATTAACAAAATAACATTTTATAGTCGTGAGATTATTTGTGTACCTTTAATTTTAATATTAATGAAAAAAATGCATTCTCCAAATATGATATATTTAGCATAAAGTGTCAAAAAAAAAATGTTGGTGTCGTAAGCAAATCATGCAATTTACTTTCAATACTAATTTTATTTTGAAAATTAATATCTTCTCATTCTTCTATTTATATATACATCAAATTTATTCTTATGTTTATGCCGTCCGACATATAAACTCTTCAATTAAGGTAAGATATTTCATAGAGCTGTAACTAGCAAGATAGATTAATTCAATTAATATTTAAATTGAATAGATCTGATTCGAATTTAAATTCAACTTTAATTCTTAACAAATTGAAGCGAACTACTTAATATTCGAGTCTAAAAATTTACAAGTAATTTAAAAATAATATATCAATATTTTAATTTTTTATATTAAATTATTAATAATATTAAGATTTATATGTTTTTAAAAAATATAATATAAGACTTTAATATAATTAAGGTTTGTGTTAAATTCAAGTTTCACTTTTCAAGTTTGAGCGGAGAATAAATTTTTAAATTGAATTAAATTTAATTTTAAATTTTTATAATCAAATCAAATTCAATAACATTCAAACGCGAGTCGACTGATTTACCATCATAGAAGTCCATGACTATAGGTTTTCTTATTACTTATATTCATGAAAAGATGCAGCAAGCTGAACTGTAATCAACTATCAAGTCTTTTTCAAAATAAAATAAAAAATCTAGAAACAGTTTAGTATAATTTTTAAAAAGTGAATTTTAAATATGCTGTAAAAATGAATTTTTAAAAGTATTTTTTTAATAAAAGTGGAGTTTAAAATTTAATTGTTTTATATTATTGTTAAAAAGTGAGTTTAAAAAGATAAAATATTCATTATAGACATTATATTGTAAATTAAAAATATAACATTTAAATTATGCTTACGCTTATATATGAATCATATCAATTTAAACTATAACAAATTCAAAAAAAATTATTATTATATATGAATTATATCAATTTAAACTATAATAAAAATATAAAAATACAAATAAAAAATATAACTATAATAAAAATATATTATTATATAAATCATTATCAATATTCTAATATATAAATAATTTTTTTTTTATTTTTAAATAATTAAAATAAATTATTAAAAACAATAAATTATTTTTTAAGGATGTTAGTATTAAATTATTAAAGTAAAATTTAAATACATAAATGAGTTTAGTTTATGCATTAGCAAGGGTAAAATTTAGTTTACTTCGAAACGTAATGTTGAAAATGAAAAATATAGAAATCCTAACTTCTACGGTTGGTTTGAAATTATCGTTTTTTACCTAATTTTTTAATAAATTTTTTACCCATTTAACATTGATTTTGCAGTTAAAACGATCTTTTTAACTGAAAATACTTTTAAAAACATTATTAACCGGACCCCAAATCAAGTTATCATCGAGTCCCACTAAGCCACCCCTCACTTAGATTCAACCCTAATCAATATTTCATTAGACGGCCCAATAAACACAAAACTGCATTGCCAATCAGACCAACCCAATAAACACAAAAATTCATTTGTTCGCACGCGCCAAGTTCAAACCCACACAAAATAAGTAGTGGGGGAGCTCCTTCACCACCCAATCGAATAATGGAGCTTAAATAATCTTTTAATTATTAAATTTATCAAAACTATAAATAAATGATAATACTGAATTATAATTAATTAATTAAATAATTTAACTGATGCATTTTGAATCCAAAATTCCAAATTAAATTATCTAGTTCCAAATCAGTTAATTTTTTATTAGAAAGAGGTAATTAGAAAATAAAATGTTTAAATATTTTTAATTAATTGACAATGAATATACAAACACCCTATAAATATAGATGTTAGAAATTAATTTTTTTTAAAAATAATATTTATTTAATTATTAAAATCAATGAATTTAATTTAGAATTAATCTAAAAAAATCAAAATTTTAATTAATTTTATAATTTGGTCCAGAACCTCAAACTTCGTGAATCATGTAAATTTGGTATTCCAAACTCCAAACCATAACCACCACACGGGCTCCATCATCTCTCCATGTATCCCGGCGCATTGTAGCTCCCTTTTAAACCCTAGGTTCGATTTAGCCTTCCCTACATTCCCCATAAAAACCTACTTCCTTTTACTAGATCTGCGTTGCTTTTCCACAAGCGTTTATCTCCCTCTTCTAAACAAACGATAAAGGAATATTTAACGGGTCGGATTCCGGGCCTTCCGACATTCTCGTGGATATGGAATCGAAGCCTTTGATGCAGGAGCAACTAACACTCCAGCCTAGATTAGCTTATTCTAATAATTGTTCTAAAATTTTAACTTTGCCCACTATTTTAACACTCGGCCGCGTCGCCGCAGTGCCGGTGCTGATTTTCAGTTCAGTTTCTTTTTCTCGAATTTCATAAAAAGCATTGTTTTAGCTGATTTTTTGTGAGTTGCGATTTTATATTTTTTTCTTAATCACTCGCTCGTTGAATTTAATTTGAAATTTCTAGTATTGATGATGATGATTTGAAAATGGCATTTCAAGTTTTGAGGCAATGCAATCATGATTTGTTGTTTCCTCCATTGTCTAGACCTTCAATTTTTTTTATCTGTTTAGTTTGGTTAAAAAACTTAGTCTCCAAGTTTTGTTTGTTTGTTTTCCTATGGGTTAATTGTATGTTTAGATCATATGTTTAAGACATAATATGCTTAGCCAGTATGTGTATGTTTATGTCAGCTGGTTTGTTTGCTCATTAATTATGTGTATGTCTGGTATTTTGTCTGTAATTTTGATGTCCCTTGGAGTCGACCTCTGATAATACTGATGAGTTTTGGCAATTATAGCTTTATTTTGTGTTTGATGATTCTGCTCATGTGAATTATGACAATCAATGACGATAGGTTGCAATGTAGTATGGCTTAGATGGTGTAAAGAAATGTATGGATTATTATTAGTTGTATGATCAGTGTACTTCCGAATTCTTTGTGGCAATTGTTAATTGCACGCCAATGCGAAAACTCCGTGTGCACTGAGACTAACAAAAAATGGTTTTCATTTTTCTTTTAGCCTTTTCTGTTGATAGTTGGTGGGGAAGGACTGCTACTACTAGTTTATTTTTGGCTGCTGCTATAACTGATTGGCTTGATGGGTACATTGCTCGAAAAGTATGCCTTCTGCCACTCTCCTTTTCAAAACTCTATGGAATCCTTTCTTTTTCCTCTCATTTTATAAGAGTGTAATTATTCTATACAATTTAACTGAGTAAAATCTTTATGATTTCTTTCAGATGAAGTTATGTTCTGCCCTTGGTGCCCTTTTGGATCCCGTCGCTGACAAGGTGAGTAGTTTTTTTATTTTCCGAACATTCAAGTTATTTATTAGATAGAGTTTAATGGCCAAAGTCATTGTAGTGACTTGTCTGAAGCAGTGAGCATTTCATCTGATCCCGTGCCTGTTTAATGTAGCTTATGGTTGCTGCTACACTGGTTTTACTATGTTCAAAACCTTTGAATGTTGCCATGTTTGGGCAAGCGCCATGGTTACTGAATGTACCGTCAATAGCCATTATAGGAAGGGAGGTAATATATACCATAGCTGATGATGTTCTATACATGTATGAATTAGTTATAAATATCTTACAAATTGTTTCTATTTTGCTTGTAGATAACTATGTCTGCTGTTAGGGAATGGGCTGCTTCTCAGAATAGTAAAATTTCAGAGGTATATTTCTCTCTCTTGGATGTCAAACAACTTTCTATTTTACTAATATCTTGAATTAGGAAATGATTGAGTTTTGCCTATAGCTTATTTCTTGAGTTTGACACGTGGATCAGGCTGTTGCTGTAAATAAGCTGGGGAAGTGGAAAACTGCCACACAGATGGCTGCACTAACCATACTTCTGGCTACACGAGATAACAGGTTTATTAAATTTCTTCCTTCATTGTCATGAAAATGATAAATGCCAAACAAGCCTGGTTGCAGTATCCGGCTGTTTACAATTTTCTGCTTTTCTCCCCCTTTATGCAGCTCCAGAGAAAGTGAGATCTTAGTTGCTTCTGGCGTTATTTTTCTTTATCTTTCAGCTGGGATCTCGGTGATGTCACAAGCCGTGTATTTGGAGAAGATGGGAAAAGTATTACTTAAGTAGTTATCTTTACCTGCTGGGTTGTAGCGGCTTGCATTTTTGTTACCGACTGTTTGTGGCTGATTTCTCTAGCTACTTCATGCCCTTTCTGACGAATATTTTTCACACATTGATGCTGCCATCTTTATTTCACTGGATTAACGATAAAGCTCTCGCCTTTTGAAGTTCACAAATATTGGAATTTCCTTTCGGATTGGGCTGTTTGGTGAGGGTAGTATCCATATATTCATGGGATTATGTCTTAAATTTCATGGAGGATGGTCATTGCTTTAGGCAAGTCGACTCCCAACATTAACACATTTTACTCTGTAATTTGCTACTGCAACTTGAAATTGAGGAACTCTCGCTAAGCTATTCAATTGTAAATGTTAATTGCTAGTGAAGTGGCTGCTCACAGTTATACACAAGTGATAAATAGTCAAAGCATGCTACGTATAATGCAATTGCTTGCCCTTTTGTATCTTATCCATTTATGAACTCAGTTTTATGATGATGAATAGATTATGAGATTGATGTTAGAGAATTCTCAAAGTTGTTGAATATTCTTCAATCCTATGTTACTTAGATTTGGGCGTGGAGATCTGAGGCAGGTACGTTTAACATTTTCCCAAGCTTTTGATTTATTTGGAGGGTTTTTGTAGGATCATATTCTGAAGCATTTTGAGAAAAATGAGAGTTAGAGCAACAAAACTTCAGTCAGCATGCAGCAGGCTTATACTTTCACAGGGCAAGAGCAGATTATAGTTTTGGCACCTGATGGAGGTTCTAGAGCAGAAGGTTTCTCCTTCAGATACATTTGGATGTGGTTCTCGTTCTCCCATAGTAAGTTGCGGCTGTGAGTGATTGTTCTTTAGGCATTAACCAATGCTTATGCTTTCAGGATTTAGTTAATTATTAGATATGGGTATACATCTGACACATATAAATTTTGTTTCTCTTGTTTGGGAGATCTTATCTTTATACTCGTTTGAAAGGGTGTTTCAGGGAAAAATGAACTCGAGTTTGAGTAACATAAGACTAATGTGATTTCTGGTGTAACTATTTTAATTTTGTTCGTTAAAAGTTTTGCCATACCTAACAGATAGGGAAGCATATGTATTCACAATGAGAGATTTTCCTGGTTAAAGATGATTCTCCATTGATTACTTAATCATTCATTTTCATCTGTTGTAACATGTCCATTATGCATTTTTTTATATGGGTGATGGGGTATTTAAACCGGACTATCTTCTCAAAAATTATAAAGCATGAGAATACTAGTGTGGTAGTGCCCACGTCTCGATTTCACGATAGGAAAAACAAAAACAGAGAATCTTCGTTTGTTTAAAGATGAGCCAAAAGAAATGAAGGGAAATGGAGGTGGGAATAACTCATCTGCAAACTGCCTCTATGCAGGATCCCGTTATATAGTCTATGAGCATGAAAGAACTATGGAGGTGAGAAACAACTAATCAGGAGCTTTTGAGATTGTACATCGGAGAAAAGCGAAGGCCCTTCAAAGTGAGCCTGGCCGTAGAGGATTGTTTTCCTTGTATTTGACCGTCATTCTCGCCGCTGTGCTGGTTGGTTTCCAGAACGCGCATTCTCATCTGTAGGATGGCGACAAGAGATAATAAAACAGCATTATTTGGATGTTTCATTACAACTTATACATATATATATCTCCTAATAAATAAAATTATACACACATATATTGTTTCAATTTTTTATTTTATTTTCTGGAAATAATTTTATTTTGAAATCCTATATAAATTATGAAAACAAGTTTGATAACTGAAAAAAATATGTTTCGAAAAAAATGAAAATGGTACAATTCATAAATAAAATTTTAGTATACACGATTGATTCTTAAAATATGTATAGTGATGATTTTATAAAATCTTTTTTTTTTAAATTCATTTGAGATTAATGGAAATAAAATTTATAAGGTAATTCGGGGTCCCCCCCTATTATCGTAAATATATCTAATATAAATTTGTTTTTTCTTTTTTAAGAAAAATCTCAAGTTTCAACCAAAGTTCACTGTTTTTAAAAGTAGACACAGGAGGAAGGCGAGAGTCGGCCACCGTCAATAGCTGTCCTCCGCCTGTACTTCAATTATATGCTTTGCTTTTTGTTCATACTTTCAAACTCTATTTTGACTCAAATTATCTACTTTTTGATTACCGAAATATTCATTCTTCTTGACTGATTGTTTTTTAGTATTCGATTCCAGTAACTTTCCTGAACCAAACAAATATGATAATTCCCAACACAAATATAAATATAAACATTTCAAGTATATCGCCTTACTTGTTTCATTTGTATACGTACTTCTTTGCTCATATTTTGAAACTTTTGAACAAACAGGTACAGGTTGTTAAGCTCATTAATGTCACTATGTGACATAATCTGTACCGTCTTTTCTTTGATTACATTTATTCATTGATTTTTGTTTACTGGGTTGTTGCCGATTTCTCAGCTCATCAACTTTCTCGTATACAATTCTCAGGTTAGCTTCTTCTTGGGGTATTTTTCTTCTTATTTTTTCAGTCTCTAGTTTCTGCCATTTTTAACTGTAATTGTGCTTGTCAGTTCCCGATATTGGAGTTTCTCTCATGGAGAATCCTGGGAATTTTAGATTGATTGTTGGGGTTTTATTGATATTTTTTTAGTTCATCTTTCACTAGGATTCAACCCTGTAGATGAGTTTTGCTAGACTGTGGATCCTCCAGAAATAGATCATTAGGTGATCGACAATTCGTCGCTGATAATTCAAACACTTCGTATAATCTTTCAACCCCACAGCATATTTTTGCCAATTCTAGTTCAAATTCCATCTCACTTTACTACGATTCATCACTGTATCAAACTGCTAGAATCTTCAATGGACCTTCCGATTACAGCTTTCCAATCAAAGAACAAGGGCGGCACTTGATTCGCCTTCATTTCTTTCCATTCGTATTTGGAAAGTACAACATGAGCAACGCAACATTCTCTGTTTAAGCACAAAACTTCAGCCTTACTAGAGAACCCAATCGGGGATTGTTTCAGTTGTTAAGGAATACTGCTTGAACATTACTTCTAATAGACTGGTTCTTAGTTTTATCCCTGATTCAGAGTCATTTGCCTTCATCAATGCCTTGGAAGTTTTCTCGATCCCTGAGAATCATTCCCGAAGAAGCCAGAACAATTGGTCGAAAAGACGAAAAGAGAAGCCTGAGAGAGGTCGCGTTGGAGATGGTTGCGAGGGTGGATATGGGGAATTCAATGGTGCTTCCACTAAATGATACCTTGTGGAGACTTTGGGTTTCAGATGATGAATATTTGATAGACAGGAACCTAGGATCATTTGTGTCAAATGTCTCGGCTGTTAATTTTACAGGAGGATTGGTGACCCAGGATATTGCTCCAGCTTCTGTATATGGCACTGCCACTCGTTTTAACCTTGATGACCCGAATCTTAATGCAAACTTGACATGGAGCTTTGATGTTGACCCGGGGTTCGATTATCTTGTCCGGCTTCATTTTTTAGATATCGCAAGTAATTCTTCTACTCAGCAAGCTGTCTTTGTTGAGATTTTCATCAATACACATTCAGCAGGTCAGCTTGATCTTGGTTCTCAGACATCACAAGTTTTAGGAGCCCCAAATTTCATATATGTCTGCACAAGGGCTCATGATAGTCATAAACTTAATGTAAGCGTCGGCTCGTCGAATATAATCAACTTCCCTAGTGTCATTCTCAATGGTTTGGAGATCATGAAAATAAATCATGCTGAGGGAGGTCTTCATGTTCCTGAGGTTGTCTCCTCGAGAACTTCCAAGATAGCACTTATAGTTAGTTTGACTGTTGGATTGTTTTTTTCATCGTTCTGGCTGCAGTTCTCATCCTTTTCTGCCGAAGAAGAAGAAAGCCAGATCCAGGGAATGAAGGACAAAATGATCATGTTGCAGGGAATGGAACTGCCATATTTTTTAGCTCGAAAATAGGCTATCGCTTCCCTTTCATGGCACTTGTAGAGGCCACTGATAATTTCAGTGAAAATTTGGTTATTGGGGTTGGTGGTTTTGGTAAGGTTTATAAAGGAGTATTGATGGGTGAAACTGAGGTTGCAGTCAAGAGGGGAACTCCTCAATCGAGTCAAGGTCTCACAGAATTCCGGAACGAGATCGAAATGCGATGGCAGATTCGGCACCGACATTTGGTATCATTGATTCGGTTACTGTGATGAACACAATGAGATGGTCATAATTTATGAGTACATGGAGAATGGGACACTCAAGAATCGTTTATATGGCTCCAGTTATCCATGCTTGAGTTGGAGACAGGCTTAAGATATGCATTTGATCAGCTAAAGGACTTCACTATCTTCATACCGGTTCAACTAAGTCAATAATTCACCGTGATGCCAAGTCTGCTAACATACTACTTGACAAGAATTTCATGGCTAAAGTTGCTGATTTTGGTTTATCAAAGACTGGCCCAGATATTGATCGAGCGCATGTGAGTACGGCAATGAAAGGAAGCTTTGGATATCTCGATCCGGAGTACTTGACAACACAACAACTGACAGAGAAATCAGATGTTTACTCTTTTGGGGTAGTTTTGCTTGAAGTCCTTTGCGGAAGGCCGGTTATCGATCCTTCCCTCCCGAGAGAAAAGGTGAATTTAGTTGACTGGGCATTGAAGTCTCGCAGCAATGGGAGATTGGAAGACATTGTAGAGCCTAGGCTTGGTGAAATAAAACCAGAGTCTTTAAACAAGTTTTGGGAGATAACTGAGAAATGCTTGGGGAAACATGGAATTTATAGGCCTTCAATGGGAGATATCCTATGGAACACGGATAACTACAAGGCAATGAACAAAAAACCACTCACGATGGTGAGCTTTCTTCTGAAATCAGCCATGGTGAACACTTGGAAACAAGCTTAGAGTTCATCCTAGCCGGTAGTGTAAGTGAACAATGACCACAGTTTTTGCTCAAATGTTAAGTGAGCAAACGAGGTAGATGAACATTGTATGCATGGTTCCATTGAGGGGCTGAATTTCATTTTCACTTCAGTTTTTCAATAAGCTTATCTATGGCTGCAAATTCTTCAGCAACAACTTTTTTTTATGTAAATTTTTTTGTTCTTTGTTGGGATTTACTCATTTGGATTTATCAGCTTTTTCATTGTTCTAAAAATGTCATGAAAAATCTGTCATGAAAAATCAGTCATCCGATTTTTGCATTTTTTGTCTGTTCACGGACTGTGCCTTACTGGTTTTTTTAGATTTCAAGTCGCATAAATACATAAAATTAAGTTATTTCCCACATACGGAAGCATTTCCTCCGACAAAGAAATCCCAGATTCAGTATAATATTTGACTCAGAAACTAGAGTACAACATAAATTTTATTTGCTTCATTGACATAGCCCACACAGGATTTAAAAGAAAGCAAAATCATCTGGTCTGAAAGAGACAATGACACTCTACATAAGATTCTCACGGAACAATTGTGATAATCTGGATGCCAAGCTTCGCTTTACTGCAGGAGAAACTCCATTCTTACCAATGATGGATTCCAACACTGCATTTCCAAGGTCTTTATTCTCTATCACTGCCTTCCCATTTTCTGGCACTAACCTATCTTTCATAAATCCAATCTGTTTTTTAGAACGATGAATTTGCCCCAAGTTAGGATCTTTTTAATCTCTTTATTTTTGCACCTAAATAAACCCTGTACTCATGGATGCACCTAAAATTCCAGGTTAGGGGAGGACAAACTTATAAAATTTAGGGGAGAAAACAAATTATCAACAGAAAATACAAAGAAATATATCTAAATTACATGAGGATCTGAAATTTTCAGGGGTGACCGCCCCCGCTAGCCCCTTTCGGTCCATATCCGCCTATACTTCCTTTGTACTAAGTAGACCCTTGTATACTGATCTTTATTTAAGGGCTTATTTGAGTACAAGGGTAAGGGTTTTATTCAAGTGTACCAAGAAATGAGCCAAAGATTTTCGTTAAAATTCTCCTAAATTCGAATGATATCGTCTATTTTTGAACATGTCATAACAATGTAAGCAAACAAATATTTAACAGGAAGATAGAATACTTGAATTCTAATCATTTGGCAATTCAGGGTAATCAATCACCCAATTATAATGACGAAAAAAAAGCAATGAATGTTTTTGGACTTACAGTTAGGGAACCACGAGGTGATATTGTGAAAAGAATGGAGGAGCCAGGTAGGAAGGTTTCATACTTGAAGGCCGCCATGATTTTTTCAATGGCTTTTGTTTCTGCATCAGCGTAGGTTCCATGAGATCTCAAGATGGCAACGCACTGCTCAGCTACTCTCTCAGAGTATTGTTGACCCGTTATTGGCATGATCGTTGTTACCTGTACGAACTTCTCAAAGTCACCTACATATTCAAATTGCAAACGCATACCCAAGACATTAGGATTGACGACAATATGGTTGGCAATGAGGCAATATAAAATCCGCCAAAAACATATAATTCTTCGTGGACCTGCTTTAGAAAATGAACAATGGCAATATAGTTGATATATCCCTCACATGTTGATTGAGTCTCAGCTCAATGTCACCATCGTAGGTTTCCTTTCCCTCACATTTTTAGGGAAATAATTGTTCAATCTTTTATCACTAGTTTATTAATCAAAACTTTATTTTACATTTCCCAAACGAAACAAACAAACAAAATTATGGATTTTACCTGTAATGATGTCTCTAAAAAACTCAACGGAATCTGCTAAGTCCGCGGCGTTCTTACCCTTCCACATACCAGCAAGGCAATCCACGGCCTTATCTTCCAAGTACACTCCGATCGCGGTGATCTTTATGAATGTCCCATGGATATCCAATCCTCTATCCCCTGGCGAACGTTACCACTGACACATTAACATAAGAAAAGATCCAACGGATTTCGAAACAGAATGCGGGGAACACTAACCTGCGCCGCCGAGGAAAAGAGTGTTCCTGGAACCCGGAGGCTTCACCTTTGGGGGGAAGGCGACGTTCTCCACTTCTAGTTCGGTGATGGACGCTGACGTAGACATTTTGCGTTAGTTTATTAAAGTTTTTTTTTTTTGGTTTATGGTTTGAGGGGTTGTAATTGGGAGAGGAACGGTTAGCTTTATATAGCTAATGGGAATAATACACGGTTAAAAAAAATATTATATTGATTTTGTTATTATTATTTTTAATAAATCAGTAAAAAATTATTGAAAAATTTATTATTTCTATCAATTTTGTTATTAGAATTGTAGATATGATATGTGCACCGGAGTGCTCATGTGCAAGCTCAACTTTCTACAAGGCTAAATATAATTTTCGGTATTTGTTTTTCAAAATCATATAATTTAGTATTTAATTTTTATTAGTGAAATGAAGTATTTAATTATTTTAGTGTAAATTATATTTCAAGTTATTCAATTATTTTAATTATTTTTATCAGTGAAATGAAGTATTTAATTATATTAATAATGCAATGAAATAGATCGGTTGGAAGGATGGTTTTATAAGATATATATTGGAATGGATGTGTCGAGTTAAATTGATTTAGATTTTATTTGAATTTGATTTGATTATTTTATCATTTTATTTATCATCTAGTCCGATTTAAGTATTTTATTATTCCACCTATTACTCCGCTTGATTCAAGTGTAGGGAGACTCCATCTGTTCTGAAATCTAACTCGATTTTTAGATCAAAACTCGCATCCAACCTAATACATACATGTCTCATTTTTATTAGGTAAAATATAAACCTAATTGGAGAAAAATATATAGAGTTTTGTATTATTATAATTTTTCACCTTAAACCTCACACATATATATCTCATTTTTATTTGGATCAAAACTCGCATCCAACCTAATATGAACCTAATAGTTTTTTTTACCTTAAACCTGAATCCAACTAGATCATAATTTTCAAATTAAAATTCGACCTGGCCCAACATAAATCCAAATTTTTATAAAGAATCTAATCTTATAGGATAGAGTCAAATCAAAATTAGTCGGGTCTAAATATGAAACTTATCCTTAGATATATATATATATATATATATATATATAGTATTTGATTTAAATTATTAAATTAAATATCAACAATTATATAAAAATATTTTTCTTGAATAGATAATTATATAAAAATATTAATCTCATAGAAGTATAATAATAACCCTTAACGTATCTAATTATCCAAATCATGCAAAATGTATGTATTACAACAAGCTTTAAAAAAATTCTAAAAAGAAGAGAATAACATGGAGCAAACCTTATCTGTTGGGATGAAATCTAATGGCAGAGAGTTAGAGAGCCAAAGAAAGGAAAAGAAAAGAAAATACCAAACATTTATCACAGCCTAATAAACTGGCAAATGAGGACCACCCCACACATGAATTGTGTGGGTTATAAATTATTTCTCTGTGTATGGTAAGGATGAGGCTATCTTCAAAGTTTTGATATTTTATGCTCGAGCCTCACATCTGTTTAAATTTAATTTTATGTTAATTCAAGTCTTATTATTCATTTATGAGGTTGGTCTAAATTCGTTTTAATTTCTACGGGTGTCTTTTAGGATTCATTGGGAAATTCTATAGATATTTTGGGATTTGGGTAATCTTGAGTTTTTCACTTTTAATTCAGTCTAATAGTTACTTGAGCAAACGTGACTTCTCTTCTCTGTTTTTCACTGTGTTATTATTGCTCACTTTCACTGTCTCGTGTTGTCCTTTTTCTGTTTGTCTCGGAGTTCTATATATTCTTATCAAACCCCATTTTCCAGGATTTCCAAAAGGCTCCATCTTTGAATTTTCCATGTATTTCTGAATCTGGGCTTTGCGTGTTTGTGTAATCTCTTGATTTCTTCATTCATGGCTGAGTCAAGGTTCATCGTTTTAGCCTTTCTGCTCTTAACTTGCTCTACTTGTTTTTCTTCTTCTTCTTCTAATGGGGATCAACACTCGGATAAAATCACTGAGTTACCCGGACAGCCGAGTAATGTCGACTTCAATCAATATTCAGGGTATGTGACTGTCAACGAAGACGCTGGAAGGGCATTATTTTACTGGTTGACTGAGTTACCACTGAACCGTACACCAGAAACAAGACCACTCGTTTTATGGCTCAATGGAGGACCTGGTTGCTCTTCAGTTGCTTATGGTGCAGATGAAGAGATTGGTCCTTTTCTTATTAGACCAGATGGAAAGACACTTTACTTCAATCCTTATGCCTGGAACAAGTGTAAGTCTTCATTTTTGTCTTCTGTTTTTGTTTTTATTTGAATTTCATCTAAGATTTGTTTCATTTCAATTGTTTTTTAGTGGTAAATATACTATTCCTTGAATCTCCAGCTGGTGTTGGTTTCTCATACACAAATACAACATCAGGTTTACACAAATACAACATCAGATTTATACAACTGTGGTGATAAGAGAACTGGTAATTTATTGTGTTTGCTCATCATTTTTATGTCAGTTTTGTTACTTTAGATTGTAAGAGAGTTGGTCTTGATATCTTTAGCTGTTTTTGGGGTCTGGGTATTGTAAATTCGCAGCTGAAGATGCATATGCTTTTCTGGTTAATTGGCTTGAAAGGTTTCCACAGTATAAGCATAGAGATTTCTACATTGCTGGAGAAAGTTATGTAGGTTTCACTTCGATCCCAGTTTGCTGTTCCGTTTGTGATATTTCGCTTGATTCGACGACGATTTATGTTTATTTTCAGGTCATTTATGTTCCTCAATTGGCTCAGCTTGTTTATGAAAGAAACAAAGGGGTTCAGAATCCTGCTCTCAATTTCAAAGGATTTATTGTGAGAATTTGAGTTGTTGGAGTTTCAGTTCTTGCTGGTAACCAACTCTTGTTTTTATGGGAAAATGACTTATCATTGGATCATATAGGTTGGAAATGCAGTTATTGATGACTTCCATGATTTTGTATACACATCCGACTACTGGTAGACTCATGGTTTAATATATGATTTGACCTATCGCAATTTGCAGGTCGCATGTGAGCTGGGATCAGCTTCACATCCCTCATCGGAATGCACTGCAGCTCTCGAAGTTGCAGAAAAGGAGCAAGGAAACATCGATCCGTATAGCATCTACACGCCACCCTACCGCAACTTTGAGACACAACTTCAGGGGTCACTATGTAAGTTTCCATTGATCTTTTCTTTCCCTCTATGAACACAATTCTGGGATTTTTTCACTTGTGTCTGTCATCTAGGACCAGACATAGTTCTGCATATTGTCCAGATGTATTACGAGCTTATCTTCACATTCAATCTTGTTTGTTTTCTAGTTTCTGTCAATAGTATGGCTTTAAATCATGATACATACGTAATTCATGAACCTAACTTGTTATGCACGTCGTCTTTAAAGCATTGAGTTTCAACTCATCAAGTTCTTTTCTTTTCCTCTGCACTAAAAGTTGTTTCTACATGCAGCCGTGGATCTTAAGAGCTTGCGATCCATGCACTGAGCAGTACACGAAAGTGTACTTTAATCGCCCCAAAGTTCAGAAGGCTCTTCATGCAAATTTAACCGGTATTCCTTATCAATGGGAAGATTGCAGGTGGGTGATTAATGGTGATTTCTTTTCGATTCGGTATACGTTATTTATGATAATGTTCATTTTACAGCGACATCGTATATGATAACTGGACGGATTCGCCTCTCTCTATGCTTCCTATATACCAAGAACTAATTGCCGGTGGTATTCGGATATGGGTATTCAGGTAAGTTGCTCTTCTTTTTCCTTGTTTTTTCATTGGATTTTGTTTTACCTGCAGTCCAAGTAAGGTAGGTTAACCTAAGTGCGGTGAGGTTTGGTTGAACTCTTTTTCTGCAGTGGAGACACTGATTCAGTGGTTCCGGTGACTGCAACTCGATACTCCATCGGTGCCCTGAAATGACCAACCATTAACAAGTGGCATCCCTGGTATGACAATGGCAAGATAAGTTCTGATAAACCCAGACACTCTTTCATATATATATATATATATATATATATGTGTGTTGATCTGATCAGAGTTACTTATTTTTGTGAATAAAGGTTGGTGGGCGGAGCCAAGAATACGAAGGGCTGACATTAATGTCGGTAACCGGAGCCGGTCATGAGGTTCCGCTCCATCGTCCTGGTCAAGGTTTCATTCTTTTCCGATCATTCTTGGAAGACAAGCCAATGCCGACATACTCGTATTCATAACTATTGCCCGCAATTGATAAGTGAAATAAATTAGACTTCTTCACAAATCGGGCTAGGAAAACAAAATAAAAAAAAATTAAGTAGTCCGATTAGACCTATTGATCTAAACCTAAATATTGCCGCTTGCCTTTTTCATGTAAGGGTAACAAGATGCTCTAAACTTTTTTAACTTGAAACTTCATGTGCAGGATTTACAAGAATAAAGCATGAAATAAAATGGTGGGATGAAACCATTATGAATTATATAAAACAATTCCGACTATTCAGTCTTTACGTAAATGATGACTCATTGAGCGGAAAATGCAACAAAAATAAATTTGATAAATGAAATTCACAATTCACAGTAAAATATATAACCAAATGGTGAGCCAGAGATTGCATATAAACTCTATAGTTGCAGAGGATGATGGTGGAGTTCCTAAGCAATCAAACATTGTTGGTGCCGTTTATTTGCGGATCTTCTGATTTCTTTACAGCAGCAGCAATTCTCTCCTCCAATGCTCTGACCCCCTTTTCTCTGCAAATATTCATGAAAATTTTCGTTTCAAATATATTGTATGCTAGATTCGTTTGATATTCATTACCATGGGGATTAAGTATCTTTGAACTTTCCAACAAAGTATGGCAGAATTAACATAAATGCGTACCTTCTTCTTGATGCCTCAATTGGGTCAGAATCAAGTAATGGCGAACCCTCCGAGGTATAGCCGTGAACATCTACGGGAGGTTCAGGTTTTCCACAAAGCATTAGGTGGAACTTCCACTTGTGAGCTTAAAGTGGCGTATCGTTTCACAAGCTAAAAACGAAAGCCAGATAACACCTGAGAAATTGAGGGAAGAATGTGGAGAACGCAAAATCTTCATTTGGATCACCCAGATGC